TTCATGGCAAGTACTGTGTATCTCAAGTACCAAAAACAAGATCATATTTTTGGACTGTAGTTGATACTCAAATTTTGTTTTATACACCAGCAAACTACTCTCTTGAGTTGTTCTCCACCTTATTATTTGAGACAGGGTCTCTTACTGAACCTGGAACTCACTAATTTGACTAGACTGGCTGGTGTGCTAGCCCCGGGAAACCTTCTTGTCTCTGTTTTCCCAGTGTTGGGATTATAGTCATGTGTGCCATACCCTAACTTTTATGCAGTTCTGGGAGTTCAACCCAGATCCTCCTGCTTACATGGCAGATACTTTACCAATTGAGTTATCTCTGCCACTCCATACTTTATTTTGAGACAGTGTTGTGCTTTGTCATCCAGGGTGGACTTCAACATAACAGTCCTCCTGCCTTAGCTACCGAGAGTAACCACACCTGGCACATTTAATAATTTTTTTTTTAATATGTATGAGTGTTTAGCGTGCGTGTAAGTAAGTACACCTGTGTCATGCAAAGCCTGTTGAGGTCAGAAGAGGGTGTTGGATCCCCTGGAACTGGAGTTACAGATGATTGCTAGCCACCATGTTAGTGCTGGGAATCAAACCTAGGTCCTCTGGAAGAGCAGCCAGTGCTCTTTAACTGCTGAACCATCTCTCCAGCCCTGACATTTTTGAATTTTAGTAGAAGATGTTGACTGTACAGAATAAGGCAAGCTAAAGATTTTATCAAACAATCTAAAGACTGATTTTAAGCATTTGACTAAAGGGGAGAAGTTAATGAATTAAGTGCTACAAAGACATATTTACTACTCTGACCCTGAAAATGCAGAATGTTTTTGTTACATGTGAGGCCTCTAAATGGTGTTCAGGTATGAAAGAAATGGTATAAGATGAAGAAATTGATGTAAGATAATGAAAAGCATGGTATATATACAGTGCTTCAGGTTTATAATACTGTGTGCATGATTTTTATAAATTAGAAGTAAAATTTCACTTGTCGACACATTCATCAATTGAGCATTGATTATCTGTTGGACACTATTCTGTTGCTAAAGAAATGGCAAATAATGGGCATTCTTGGCTCTTAGCGGTTATAGCATGAGTTTATATGAGTGTGCTATTTGGAAGTAGTACTTAGACACTGAAAAAAATGAAAGGAGATCTAAATATTGGAAGAAACAAGATTTTTTTTTTTTTAATGCTGTTCTGAGGGCAAGGGTAGAATGCAGAGCCATGGTCCTCCACAGTTCAGTGTCCTTACAATATGGCAGTCTCTTGAGTAGAATGTAAAAGGTAAAGTAATTTTTACATTGAGGGTTAATATGAATGAAGCCAATTCAGATAAATATTTTCTGCAACTGATTTTCCAGACTATAAGTGCAACATTATTCCCAATGGACTTCCATATTAATCATGCTAATACTATTAATTTCAACAGACAGAATAATCTCAAGACATACAGCAGTAGTCTTCACTGGCTGCTTTCTTCTCATCTTTCAGTATCATAGGACTTTGGAAAACTCCATTTGCATTTTCAGGACCTCACTCTCCTAATATATAAGTTGAGCAGGAGGGGATAGATAATCACAGTTTCCAGCTCAAGTTTTTATGTAGCTGTGACTTAATAAAATGGAAGCTTGCCAGGCGTGGTGGTGCATGCCTTTAGTCCCAGCAGAGGCAGGTAGATCATTGTAAGTTCAAGGCCAGCCTGGTCTACATAGTGAGTTCAGGTCAGCTGGGACTACAGGGAGACCCTGTCTCAAAAAGACCAAAAAAAAAAAAAGGAAGATCAAGTTAGTCAACTCCAAATCTTGCATACATACTATAAAACTTATTTCCCTTGGGACTGGAGAGATAGCTCAGCGGTTAAGAGCATTGACTGCTCTTGCAGAGAACCTGGGTTCGATTCCCAGCACCCACATGGCGGCTACAAATCGTCCTTAACTCCAGTTCCAGGGGAATTTGAAGCTGTCTTCTGACCTCTGGGGCATTGCACGAAATGGGTGCACTCACATACATGCAGGCAATAAAATACACTCATACGCACATAAAATGGGAAGAAAAAAAAAAGTACTTGCTGCTCTTGAAGTGGACCGTTTTATCACTAGCACCCAAATGATGATCTTCAGCCATCTGTAACTCCAATTCCAGGGAATTCAGCATCCTCTTCTGGCCTCTATGGGCACCAGGCATGCATGTAGTGCACATACATGCATGCAGGTAAAACATTCATATGTACACATAAAAATAAGTCTTAAAAAATGTTCCCTTTATTTTTAGGTAGTACTAATCATTTATTACAGTTAATTATCAACAGTCAATAGTAATTTATTTGTGAAAAAAAAATTTTAATCTCTCTCGTTCTCTCTCTCTCATTTTGTACATTTGCCACAGCCCACATGTGGAGATTGCAGGAGTCCATTCTCACCTTGCACCATGTGGGTCCCGGGGATTAAACTCTAGTCACAATCAGGCTTGCTGGCAAGCACCCTTAATCTATTAAGCTATCTTGCTGACCCCAGAATATATTTTAGGTTTTCTATGGGATATTAACTGCCACCACAGAATGGTCCCAACTTAAAGTCTGTGTAATACTTTTATTTCAGATATTTGTAATGAATACTTAAAATGTCAAGATTTTAGGCAAAAGAATGAAACTGTATTACCAGTAATTGGACCGTTGATATATCTAGTCTAAGTATTCTTTATGAATGAACCTGTGAGTTTTTGAGTACCTAGATTTACAAACTACAGGTGGCATGCTTTTTAAATTTTCCTTATTGTGTGAGTGGTTGCCAATACGTGGTAGTTTTGCTTTTACCCAAATTTGGTTACTTCTCAGTGGCATAGAGAGGAGTCAGAGCTAAGAGTACAGCTTTTTCCTTCTTGTCTTTATTCTTGATTCAGTATTAGCCATAGCCTCAAACTGATGACTAGGGAACCAAAGGCATCCCTGAGAATGGCAAATTGAATTGTATCTTCTCAACAGGGTGTTTTATAGCTGAATCTTTTCAATTATTTTTGGGGGGGCTGGAGTGGGAGGGTCCTAGGGATTGAACTCAGTAACTTGCACCTGCTAGGCAAGCACTATACCACTGAGCTACCTTTCTTTCCACAGAAGGTTGTTCTGAAGCTCAAATTAGATAATGCAATTGAAGTATTTAGAATAACATTTGACATGCAGAATAGGTGTACAAATAAAACTGTAGTGATCATTATCTATTGGATAATCTGTTAGCATGCATATAGTATTGGAAAGTTTTAAAAACCTGAATATAGATTTCTCTGTATCTCTGTATTTCTCATTTTCCGTGTCAATAGAATAGTCCCTTTTTGACCCTTCTTCAGTTATGTAACATGTGAACTATTTCTCATTTACCCCAAACATTCCTGTATTTAACAATAATGTGGAAGCAAGTTTAACTTTTCTTGGAATACTTCAGAAAAAATGGAACACTAGGTCAAACAGGTATGGTTAATATTATACAATTGCTCTAAAGGAAAGTATCATTACGTACTATTGAGAGTGTGTAGGTTTGTCATTGGTCCATTTAACTCAATAACAGTATAAGAAGTTGTGCCCAAGCACTGGTTGATAGACTACTTGATAGAATAGTGTGGAATTGTCAGACCAATAGGGTATGTTCTTAGGAATCACATAGCAAGTAAAGATACTTCAAGGCATAATA